TTCATAAGTCAGGAAATGATCTCGAAAGGTATACATTCATATTATATATGTAGGATCAGGTGTGAGGAAGCAAAACAAGGGTTTGATGGTAAATATTATTGGTGTATATATTAGAAAATATCGGTATGACAAAAATGTTTAAATACTTCTTCAAATAACAGGAATTATTACAACAAACGAAACGTCTTAAAGACTAAAAGATTCACGGCTTATTCGGTTTTGAAATATAATGTCTCAAACGACTTCTACAAAATAACAACTTAAACGACTTAACGAACAACGACTTTAACGACTTAATGAAATTACAACTTAAACGACTCGACTAAATTTCGGCTTAGACGACTTAACAAATTCGCGATTACACGTCTTTTCGTCTCGACCATTCGCCAACGACTATCTCTTTTCTTTTTCTCCTAGCAACGACTCATTGCGCTGATCATGCACCAAACATACACACATGCACACACACATCAACATTCGCCCAAACAAACAAATCACCCGCGCTGCACGAGCTATTGCCCATCGGCTGAGGCCTAACAGATGCGCATCATGCCTCGTCCCCACATATATTTTAAATTAATTGCAAATTATTTGTTTACAATTTAAAAACAAAAATAGTAACAAACAAACAAAAAATATGTACATGCACGCGTGTTCAAATAAATATTTAATCAATGCTGGATTCGTATAATAAATAATTATCGAATGATAGTATTTTCTCGTTAAACATATATATCCTTTATAAAACCTATTCGAAAATGCAATTATTTATTCTGCCAGAAAAAGGGATCATCTTTAGGATCGGATAGGAAGAAACTTTCTTTCTTTTACCCCTATAACCATCGAAAAAATCCTCGAAGGAATTCGTTTTGACCTAATTTCGGTATATCCATCTAACCGATACGAAAAGCAGACGAGAGCTAAGTCATTATTTAATTACGACGTTTTCCTTTGCAGTAAACCCAACAGACCAAACTTTTTTCTCTCGGTGTATCAATTAACTTAATAGAGTACCGCTGAGTCTCTTCTCTTATCTTGAAATTTCATTAATGTTCCCCTTGCCCCCTGCCCCTTGCCCCATGTCCCCCCCCCCTATACAAATAGATGCATTTATATATTAATCAAAATTATTTGTTTTACGTTTTGTATTTGCGATCATTATGGTAACGATTAAAAAATATTGAACAATTTACAACAACAAATTGAAATTTATCCGAGTAATATTTTTTTTTCTAATGATCCTACGACGCTAGAGAAATTAAATTAATAATTAATTAATTAATTAATTTGTTTTTTTTTAATTATTTTCCGATCGGTAGATTATATTGATTCATCGAAGTTATAGATCTATTGTGAAACACATGCTAACAAACGTAAAATATTTAATTAATAATAAATTTTCGATAAATTAGATGAGAGATATAATTAGATATTAATTATTTTGCAATGAAAAAGAATTATTTAATTACTTGGGAATAAATATTTTTGCGGAGTACGAATACGTGACGTCTTTTTTCAAAATAATACTAACACATAAATAAAAATATGTATACATGAGTTACCTCTCTAACGAGAAAAGAAAAATATCATGGGGTTTGTTTGTATCGTACGGTAAATTCAACGAAACTTTATCCATTATTTAAGTACGGATAGAAAAACATTATCGTTAGGGTAGAGGGATGATTCATGTATACACATCTTTATGTTAGTTTTATTTTGAACGGTTTAAAGATAAGACGAAACTTATTCGCACTTCGTATATTTATATTTTATTACTTAATTAATTAATATATATTATTCAATAATTTAATATATCTAAATTAAATCTCTCGTTTGATTTTTCAGATTTATATGCAGTTGTTATCGAGTGTCGTGAAATTAGATAAAAATATTTTTTTCAAACCAGAATAATATTACAAAATTTTATATTATTTTTATATGATTTTATAAAATTTATCTTATCTCACACATGTTAAATTATACAGGTTGATAAATTATTATAGGTTGACGTTTTAAACGATCCCTTTTTGTATATAACGGTATACAATGCGAATACGTATGTATGCATTATATATGCATATACATAAATTTATGCTTACTTAGATATGTGTATATATGTATATGATTGAAACGAATTTCTTCTAACCACCAAGAAGAAACAGCTTATTCGGAATTGGAGCATGAGGTCGAAGGTCACTCGCCTGGAGGTTCAAACGTATCATGTTAAAGGTCACGGTTATGGGGAAGATGCAAAATTTAACTCAAAATAATAACGTATTCATTTAACCGTATGCATTCTAATCAATCGTACGAATATATTCTAATTTTGTGTTTATGTTAATCGAAAAATGATTTATATAGATATTGATTGACAAATCTTTTTTTATATTATATTAATTAATTTATAATATATAATTTTACAATCATTTATATTTTTTATCGCGTTTTATTATTTTAATCGTAAATTTATTTGCAATTGTTTTCTTTTCTTTTTCTTTTTTTATTAGAAAATATTAGATATATATGAGAATCAGATGAGAGACTAAAAATATATTCCACGTATTTCTGTCTCTCTCTCTCTCTCTCTCTCTCTCTCTTTTTTATTTTCTTATATTTTTATTCAATTTTTATTTTTCATTTGAAAACTTTTCGAGACGTCGACGAAGCAAGCACGTAAATATTCATATACGTATACATGCACGCATATGTGTATATATATATATATATATATATAAAATAAAAACAGAAAGTACTACGATTAAAAATATATTCTATATTTTTCTCTCTCCTGTGTTATATTATCTTTTCTTTTCTTTCCTTTTAGTATTTTATTTCTTTAGCCAAGAGTTTATTTTTGTCTACAAACTTTTTCGCCGATATTTTTACGTGCATATAAATAAATGTAAAAATATAATAAATGTCTATATCTGTGTGTGTGTATGATAACTAAAAATATTTTTTTATATTTCTCCTCGTTTTTTCTTCTTCTTCTTCTTATTATTATTATTATCATTATATATATATAAATTATTTTTTCTTATCAAGTAAAAGTAGACATCATTAGACGATTTCAGGCAAATGCCTTGTACCTTTACGATGTGCATAACTTCTATATACATATACATAGACACACATATATATATATATATATATATATATATATATATATATACGTTTATCGATAATCTATATTCGATAACGAGAGTGTTTTTGCGTATGCGTGATATATCTTTGTACGAGTAGTAATAGTTACAGGTTATCCGTCATACTTATTTGAACTCCTTGAGACTCGATAACGAAGAACGAAAGCTGCTAGTAAACGAAATTTTTCTATATGCACGTGAGAGAAGGAAGGATGCATTTAACTTTCGTTTAATTCAAATTTTCTCTTTCCATTAAAATTCATAATTATCATATTACTTTTCTATTTCTTATTATCTCGATATTGTATTATACAATACATTTCTTATACATTTGTTATAATAATGCATCTATGTGAAAGAAGAAAAATAAAAATGATAATTTATTGAGAGAAGATCGAGAGTCGTGATTATGATAATAAAAAAAGAAGAATAAACACAACAACTATAAAGAAGAATAAAACTTCTTGCATCGTATTATTGTTATTTTTCTTCTTTCCTCCCCACCCCCACCCCCCGCCCCCGTTTTGTTTTTCTTCTTTCTAAGAAAGAGAAAACGATAACGGAAAGAGAACAAAAGAAGAAAAAAAAGAAAATAGTCATTTTTAATTATTAACGCTTTTTAAGAAGTTGTTTCTATTCAAGCGTAATAGAAACATTCTGTGTTTTCTCGAGTTGCTGATAAATTATTAATAAATTCGTCCAACCACAACACGAAGGTTATTCCTAACTATCGTGGGAAATATACATTTGCTAGAAAATAAGTACACATGTATAACACCACACACACACACACACGCACAACATGTATAGTTGGACGAGTATAGACTTATTGTTAGAACGCTAACCCTAATCGAACTAAGCAATCTATATATATATATAATAATAATTACAACACCTACGTTAAATCCATTTAAATCTTTATCGATAAATTAATAATCCAAAAATATTTTCTAATATCTTATTTAATTA